TTAAATGTACCTGAATTATACATAAAAAAGATAATTTCAAATAACATCTTTGCAAGATGAGATACAAATACTTGTTGTATTAAATAAAAAATGCTAAAATGGTACAGGGAAAAATAATAAGGAATCAAAAGTAAAGACTACATTCAGCTATAATCCAAGTTATAAAATAGTAAAGAAAGGCATCCACTGCACCTCCGTCATATTTTCAATATTGCATATTTGCATATGCGACTCTTCAGAAATACTGAGAGAGGAATCTTGATAGTCTCAAATTCTTCTCAACACAACAAACCTATTTTGAGTACACTGTAGCACTTTAGGAGTCCGAGGCAAGTGGATCACCTGAGGTCAAAGGTTCTACTAGCCTGCTGGCCAACACGATGAAACCTCGTCTCTACTAAAAATGCAAAAATTAGACAGGCGTGGTGGCATGTGCCTGTAATCCCAACTACTCAGGAGGCTGAGGCAGGAGAATCGCTTGAACTCAGGAGGAGGAAGCTGCGGTAAGCCGAGATCACACCATTGCACTCCAGCCTGGGCAACAGAGTGAGACTCTACTTCACAAAACAAACAAAAACAAAAACAAATTCTACCACAGGGTGAACCTCAGAAATGATTCAATCTGATAATCTTATTTTTATGAATGACAAAACTGAGGTCAAGAGAAGTTGAGTGGGTGGAACAAGTATATTAGTTAACTTAAGCTGCCATGACAAAATACCATAGACTGGTTGGTTCAATAACAGAAATTTATTTCTCATAGTTCTAGAGGCTAGGAGTCCAACATCAAGGTGCCAATGTGGTTGGCCTCTGGTGAGGGCTCTCCCTGGGTTGCAGATGGCCACTTTGTTGCTGTATTCTCACATGGCTGAGAGAAAAGGAGCTCCAGTCTATTCCTCTTCTTCTTCTTCTTCTTTTTTTTTAAAGAGACAAGGTCTTGCTCTGTCCCCCAGGCTAGAGTGCAGTGGCACAATCATAGCTCACTGCAGACTCAAATTCCTAGGCTGAAGCAGTACTCCTGCCTCAGTCTCCCAAGTAGCTGGTACTACAGGTACCTGCTGGTGTGCCTGAGATTTTTTTTAACTCTGTGCTGCCTAGGCTGGTCTTCAACTCCTGGCCTAAAGCAATCCTCCAACTTTGGCCTCCCAAACTGCTTGGATTACAGGCTTGGGTCACTGTGCCTGGCCACTCTTCCTCCTCTAATAAAAACACTGATCCTATCATGAGAGTCCTACTCCCAAGACTCTACCTTAATTACCTCCCAAACGCCCCACCTCCAAATACCATTGCATTGTGGGTTAGGGCTTCAACATATAAATTTGGGAAGGAGGGACACAAACACTCAACCCATAACAATGGATTAACAAAAATTCAGAGTGAAACTAAGAACTAGAACCTAGGCCCGCTGAAACCCTGGCCACTTACACTACTTAAGTTCTCACTTACATTACTTAAGTTCTAAAATTAATTGTGCAATTTTTGAAAACATAGTTGAAATAATGCTAAGGATTAGAAAACCAGCAGAGAAGGAAAATGAGATTAACAATATCCTACTGTTCTGTATCTTACATGTATAAAAATTTTTCTATGCCATCTGGTGCCTGTCTCACATCAATTCACTATGTTCCTTTTTAATAATCATCCTTAATGCACCTGAACAGAATGTATTAGAGATGTTCAATGAAAATTTTTTCTTGCTGCTAAATAAATCAATTTCAGGTGCACTTTGGCTTGTTATTTCTTCAGATACAATCAATTGAGGGCTTGATGAAATCCTTTCTGCCTCAGACTGTGATGACTTCTAACATTTTGTTTATATATTTAGAAGAAAAAAGGAATCAAGAGCTGCCAAGTATTATTAAAGTAGAACCAACTACAGCAGGAATTCTATCATGAGGGCAGCATCACTAATGAAGTAAAGCAGTGAGATAGAAAATTCTAACCATAACCCGTTTCTAACTCCTCATGATATGGAGACATGGATTCGCTTTCTGTTTTTAAATTTAAACAGCAAAGATAATCACCTTGTATTAAGGATTCTCAAATAGTGCTTCAGTATACATGTAATAATTAGAAAATGCTTTCTTTTTAAGGCAAAACAGTATTAATTATCATAAAAATATTTTTGGTGTTAAAAAAAACCTTAAAAATAACAAAAAACCCTGCCACATCAACTTTCTTTCCTCTACCTACCTTAATTGTTCCACATCCTTTTTTGAGAGAGACAGAGTCTTGCTCTGTTGCTCAGTGGCACGATCTCAGGTCACTGCCTCCCGGGTTCAAGCGATTCTCCTGCCTCAGCCTCCCGAGTAGCTGGGATTATAGACACCCACCACCACATCCAAGTAATTTTTGTATTTTTCATAGAGACATAGTTTCACCATGTTGGCCAGGCTGGTCTCAAACTCCTGGCTTCGAGAGAACCACCCGCCTTGGACTCCCATGTGCAGGGATGACATGCCTGAGCCACTGCACCCTGCCCCATATCTTCTTATAAAAAATAAATTACACCACGAAGATGGCAGCAATAGCTGCTCTATTTGAGACATTGCTAGAAAGGTCTTAATTCTGCAAAAAAGTCCTTCAGCTATAGCCTGCATATTACTCTGCCTGAAAGAAAGCCTGTTTCCCAGGTACAACTCACAGCAGCTTGGGTGTTCAGTGAGAACTGAATAAAGGAGCCCAACACTCCCCCTCCTAATTCTGTGAGTTTACAATCCAGTATTTGTTGCTCTTATAAACAAAGACTGGGAACAGTAAATTGATGACAGAAGGAAAATAAATATTTATTGAATGTCCTCCATGTGGTCAGCAAAGCATTAAGTTTCACTTTATTATACTATTACACCATTCTTAGAAAAATGTCCCAAATGTTCTACAAATAAGGAAGCTGAGGATAAGGCAGTAAAAACTGAAGATTCATTAGTTGGTGATTGGTATAGCTAGAATCCATCCTCAGGTTTCTCTAGTACTAAAAAATAAGTTAGTATATAATTTAATAAGTAATTAAACATTCATATAGAATTATCTCACATTTTTAAAAAAGTAATTTCACAAAAATGAATATCCATATATAGCAGGACATTAAATATTATGAGCCAGAAAAATTATATATGGTTTTGCACAGATATAAAATATAATACCAAAACATGAATATTATCAAGTAATTCTTAAACAACAAAATATCATTTAAAATAAAGGACAATTTTCAAATTTGTCTGGCACACAAGTCTGCCAAAGAGCAATGTCTTCTGATTTAACTACATCTTTTGTTAAATTTTTTATCCCCAACTTTCGAACATTTAGAACCAAGTATTTCAAAGTCTAGTTTGACATGTATTGTTATAATGACAAAAACGACAGATGAAAATCAGTGGCCAAGCCAAAATAGCACCTCATGCTCATGGGTCCTTTTTTGGCGGGACCTCCCCAAGTATATTTATTTCAGTTCTTACAAGATATAGCTATAGTGTGGTCTGCAGAGTCCTGGGCATATCTGAGATGCTTTCTGCGGGTTTATGAGGTCAAAATTATTTTCTTTATACAATTGAGATGTCATCTGCCTTTTTCACTATGTTGATATATTTACTAGTGGTGTAAAAGCAATGCTGTGTAAAACTGTTGATGTCATAGCACAAGTCAAAGCAGTGGTCCCCGACTGTACCCACAGTCACTGTCCTCTTCAGTGGCATGCACTTGTAGGGGAAAAAATACAGTGCAAGTTTCACCTAAGAATGTTATTAATGAAGCAATAAAAAATTGTTTTCTTAAATCTCAATGCCTAAGTACATATTTTTAATATTCTGTGTGACAACATAGGAAGGAAGCATTAAAGCACTTTTCTTGCATTTTGCATTTTGCATTTTGCAAGAAAAGACTGCTTGGGGAAAAGCATGTGTGATTGAGTTGCAAGCTGACTCAGGTACTTTTTTTGTGAAGGACCATTTTTACTTGCATGAACAACTAACAAACTATGCTTATTCAGATGTTTGGCAGACATTTTCTCAAAAATTAATAAAGTGAGTCTATCACTGACAATTTTTCTTGTCAACAATATAATTCCAGCTTTCAAGAGAAAATTAGAAGCTTAGAAAATTTATATTCACCACTATGAGCTTGAAAGCTTCCAAATACTTAAGAGACTTTGCTGAAAATGGTACTGATGAAAATGGGTGTGATATTTTTGATGTCATATAATGAAATGTGTCACAATTGGAAGATTTCCATAACTCAGCGAACCAATATTTTCCAAACAATCAAGGCAAGCTAAAAAAAAAAAATCATGCATAGATAAAAGATACAGTCAAAGGGCAAATTTGACCAATGGATTACAATGTAAGAGAATATGAAAAGCTCATTGGTATGGTTTCAGATTCTACATATGTAGAAATTACCACCTGTTGAGTTTTAGTGTAGTATAAAAGAATATATACAATTATCTAAAAAGGCTATTAAAATACTACTTGTCCAGGTTTGGTGGCTCTGACCTGTAATTCTAGCAGTTCAAGAGGCCAAGGTGGGAGGATCCCTTAAGCCCAGGAGTTCAAGACCCACCTGTGTAACATAGTAAGACCCTGTCTCTACAAATTAGCCTGTAGTCCCCAGTTACTTAGGATGTTCAGGTGAGAGGATCACCTGAGCTTGGGAGGTCAAGGCTATAGAAAGCCATGATCACGTCACTGCACTCCAGCCTGGGCAACAGAGCGAGATGGTCTCATAAAATAAAATAAAATAAAATACTTCTCTGTTTTCCAACTACATAACTGTAATGCCAGATTTTCTTCCACCCAAAACAACACAGTTATGAATTGAAGCAGAAGCAGGTATAAAAATTCAGTTGCTGTCTATTAAGTCAGATAATACAGAAATTTGCAAAAGTATAAAAAACAGTAATGAAGCAAGTGAGGTTTTTTTTAATGTAAAACTCTTCTCAACTTTTTTTTTTTGTTTTGAAAATATAGTAATGTTTCACTAAAATAATTACATTAACTTTTGGGTTTATTGTTATTTTAAATAAAATTATGAAAAATAATTTTAAAACTTCTGATTCAATGTTTAATAAAGTAAACATTAATAGCTTAAAATTTATTAAGGACTCACAAAATCAATAGCTCTTTGGGGTCCTTAATAAATTTTAAGAGTTAAAAGGGCTCTTGAGGCCAATGTGTATGAAAGACAGTGTGCTACAGAAAGAATGTGTGTTCAGTAATTGCAACTGACTCTTGAACAAGGCAGAAGTTAGGGATGCTGACCCCTGACACTGTTAAAAATCCAAGTAGAACTTCTGAGCCCCCCGAAAAAACTTAACTGCTAACAGAGCCTACTGTTGACTGCATGCCTTACTGATAACACAAATAACTGACGAGCACATATTTTGTATGTTGTATGTTTTATATACTGTATTCTCACAATAAAGTAAGCAAGGGAAACTTTTTGAAGAAAATCATAAGGAAGAGAAACTATATTTATTATTAAGTGGAAGCAGATCATCACAAAATCTTCATCCTCATTGTCTTCTTGTTGAGTAAGCTGAGGAGGAGGGGGAGGAAGAGGGGTGGGTCTTGCTGTCTCAGGGGTATCAGAAGTGGAGGAAAATCCACATGTAAGCGGACCTGTGCAGTACAAGTCCGTGTTGTTCAAGGATCAATTGTACATGATAATATGTAATTAAGTCTAAACTGTGTTTAGTATCTGCCTCCCATCTTTAAAGTGACTTGCCTAATGTAAGGAATATAGGCTTTTTGATTTAGCACCTTCTTCAGAAGAACCACTCCTCTGCCATTCTCAGTGCAAGTGGCTGATCCTACTCTCTGGATCCAGAGGACGTTGGCATGTGTTGCAGAACTTACTAAGTATAGTACTACGTTCCTGAAGAAATGGTCGGGTGGCCCAGACAGGCCAACAAAGGAATGTTTGTAACTTCAATTTTGGTTGTGTTGCTAGCTCTGTGAATGCAGCCTGCAAATGCAGCCTGCAAATACAGCCTGGAGCTGCTGGTGGCTGTCTTTGCTAACAAGTGGAAAAATGATTACAATGTAGCTAACATAGACAGTAGGGACAAGTGGAAAAAAATGTGTACTGATAATACTGAACTCTATAATCAACATATTTGAAGACATGGATTTTCTAGTTGGGGAAGTCAAGAAATTCCTTCTATTTAAGCTTTTATAAGCTGAATTTATATTATCTGCATTGAAGTGAGCCCTAATAAATACTGTATTTGATAGTTGGAAGTGGAGTGTTGCATATGACAGACCCTAGTGACATTGGATAAGCTGAGGTGAGAGGGAGGATTCCCCCATTGCAGGGCAAAAGGCAAATGCTGTTCACTGAAAGCAAAGCAGACAGTTAAAAGATGCTTAATGTGTATCTGAACTCAAATCATACAGTCATGTGTTGCTTAACAACAGGAACAAGTTCTAAGTAACATGTCATTAGGCGATTTTGTCATTGTGGGGACATCCTAGAGTTTACTTACACAAACCTATATGGAATAGCCTACGACATACCTCAGCTATATGATGTAGCCTATTGCTCCTAGGCTACTAACCTGTACGGCATGCTACTGTACTGAATACTGTAGGTACCTGTAACACAATGGTTAAGTATTTGTGTATGTAAACACTTCTAAACATAGAAAAGGTACTGTAAAAGTATAATCTTATGGGACCACCATCGTAGAAGCAGTCTGCTGTTGACTGAAACATCATTATGCAATACACGACTTGACTGTAAATATCAAGGATAGAGTATTATGGAAGTGGGGAAAAGATGCCTGAATTTTGGAGGGTGTTGGCTACTTCTTTTAGCCTTCAGTAAGACCATACAGGAAAGGAACAGTCTTCAGTCTAATCTGGCAGTTGCAGAAGGAAAAAGGAAAAGGGATTTGGTCCTTCCTAAGAGTCATCCTTTTTGCCTGCTCCTGGCCCTCCAAAACGGTCAATAGCAGATAACCATTGACCTTTAGGATGTGTAAATCTCTGCCCCATGCTAAATTTAGTACAAGCAGGAAACATAATGGAAAAAGAGGTTGGGATCTTGGTCAACCAGGGACTTGCTGCTGTATATTCAAAGAGAGCAGGTACAACTCTGCTCCAAAAGCCATACCCAGGAATTCCACCACTGAGGGTTAGGATCTGTGTGATTTCAGCCCATTGTCTCCAAGTGTGAGGTCCAAATGGCTAGAGAGAGGAGCAGAGCATAAAGGCTGATTGCTAAGAGGGAGAATCAGTGAGGTTTGGAACCAGGCTGATGGGCCCTGACTCCACAAAAGCTCTGGCTTTGTTACCATTGCAAGGAGTATCCAAGAAATTAACAGAGCCAACAGCCAACAGATCTGTCAGGAGAGGCTGTGGTATTGCCAGTGAAATTCCAAAGCTCACCGAACAGACCTGAGAATGCCTAACTTACAGGGCAAATTTTCAGTGTCCAAACCCACACAAACAGGAAGGAGGAACTGAAATGTTCTAGCTGTTAGAACAGAAACCTCCCAGTGTCCATCTGACACATACCTGTGCAAGACAGTGGAAAAAGGACTTCCTCCCAGAAAGCAGTAAAGGGCCAGCCAGATTCCTGAACAAAGAACTCCCTCCGCTGTCAGGTCAGAGAGTCCTTGCTTTCTTTGCCCAGCAGCATGAGATTATTGTGGCGAACTTGAGATCACTCTTTAGTGGTTGCCCTTCTCTCTTTTTCCAAATGGAAGTTTTATTGCAGTGATGGTGTTTGCTCTCTACCACTGTGAATTGGCAATGCTAAATTTATCCTTTAGCCAGAGGTTGCCAAGCCATGATGAGCTACATTTAGACAAAACCAAAAACATGTCATAACTTAGAGATTCTATAATTGAAGTTGAAAGCAGGAACTGGATGAGCCAGTCTCCCTTTAGAGTGGAGGTAGGAAAATTTTTCTGGTAGAGGTATATTTGCATTACACTGGCAAGGGCCACTTCGAGAATTTTATAAATGGAAAGAAGGGTTATATGGATGCTGGCCAGCCAAGGGATGGAAACATAATGAGAGAGTAGTTAACCTTTGTTTTGTTCAGCCCAGAATCTCTTTAGGAGTTAGGTTTTTCCCATTCTGAGTCCAAGTGCTTTAGGTGGGGATGATCCTACCGCCTGGCTGTAGGACTGCCATTATGGAAACCCAGCCAATCAAGTACCGGATTTCTTCATTCATAGCGATTATATCCAGGGATGGTCACATGACCAAAGCTAGGCCAGTGAAAGCTCTCCCTGGGTCTTCTGTTAGAGCTATTGAAAAACTGACTTATTTTTATTTTTATGAGAAATTCCAGCCACCAGTACAACATAAACTCAGAACTGCTGCTGGTCATTTTTGCTACATTGTGGGGAGAGCCTGCCCAATAATGCAGCCAACACCGAGTTTAAGCAGAAAAAAATATTTTGAATTTCCAAATCTAGTCATATCTAAAGCTAGACTCGTAAGCTCTGGTTTTCCAAATTATTTGAGTCAATAGATACATTTTTTGTAATTAAATGAAACTGAGTTGGGTTTCTGTCACCTTCAAGCCAAATAATCCTAAAAGCTAAGTGAAATTTATTTTATTTTATTTTATTTTAATTCTTTCAAAGAGAAATAATTGAACTGACATCTAAATATTTCTTTCTGTTTAAAAGCTGATGTTGGCTGGGCGCAGTTACTCATACCTATAATCCCAGCACTTTGGTAGGCCGAGGAGGGCAGATCACTTGAGGCCAGGAGTTGGAGGCTAGTTTGGCCAACACGGCGAAACTCCGTCTCTACTAAAAATACAAAAAAATTAGCTGGGCATATGCCTGTAATCTCAGCTACTCGGGATGACTCTTATCATCACTCTGTCCTGGGAAATTACCCTCCTAATACAGATCTCTGTGATCTACTCGGGAGGTTTGAGAATCACTCAAACCCAGGAGGTGGAGGTTACAGTGAACCAATCTTTGTGACCTTAGGTACCTTTTAATGCCACCCTAGGTTACGGTGATTTTTTTTGTCTGTTTCCCCCACAGATTTTTAAGCAACAATTTCTGTACTGAAATGTTATGTTTGCATTAGATGGTAATTTCCCCGCACAAAGTGATGATAAGAGTCAACCATTTACTATTTATTATTTGATGTTTAAATAATTTTTGTGTCTCTTTGCAATAAAAGGCACTATGTAATAAAATCATTAAACAAATTAAAAACTAAAAGCTCCAAATAATAAAGCGAAGGAAGAGCAAGTTGTATTGCAAAACTTAGGCTGAGTCTCCCCACCAGAGTCAAGTACAAAACTGGTCTCTGAGCTTCTGAAAAGGCAAAGCAAAGTGGATATTCAGAAAGTTCTGTACCATGGTTATCTTAATTGAAGGGAATATTTCATAAGGAGGGATTACTTGCTTCCACCACTAAAGTTTAAAAATAACTAATTACCTAGCTCTTTATACACTAGCCCCATGTAATAAAATTGAGAGTCTTTAACAGAAGCTTCATAAAAGATGCAGAAATGTTCTTTTTACAGCTCTTAAAGAAAAAAAAATGGGCTATTAATTAAAGCTCAATTGTTTAATTGTAAATCCATGAAGACAATTTGGAAGCAGACACAGGCTGTTTTTAGTAATGTAGCTTGATATTCGAGCAGATTTTGGGGAATGTATTCCAGAAGAAAGGGTGGTGGGGGTGGCATGTCCCTTAAGACCACTCTTCCCAATTATCGGTTGACTCATAAAAGCTTGTAAATAAAAGTTACATACACAGCAAACCACTGGAAACTAAAGACTAAGATCAATCATAACAAATTAAGTGCCAAAAGAGGACTGCTGATTAAAGTGATATCTACATTCACTAAAGATCCTATTATACGTAAGCAAAATTTTACAATACAAATCAGCCTTGCTTGCTTTTCTTACAAGATGGGGAGTAATAAATACTATTAAAATGCATAACTAGAAGCTTCTAAGATTAAGAGAGTCTTAGAGAAGTGTTAGAGTCCTTAGAGCAAAGACAAGTGTTTTTTAAATTTGATATGCTTTTTCACTCTTGTTTTTTGAGACGGAGTTTCACTCTTGTTGCCCTGGAGTGCAGTGGCACGATCTTGGCTCACTGCAACCATCCGCCTTCCAGGTTCAAGTGATTCTCCTGCCTCAGCCTCCCAAGTAGCTGGGATTACAGGCGTGTCCCACCATGCCCAGCTAATTTTTGTAGTTTTAGTAGAGACAGGGTTTCACCATGTTGGGCAGGCTGGTCTCAAATTCCTGACCTCAAGTGATCTGCCCACCTTGGCCTCCCAAAGTGCTGGGATTACAGGTGTGAGCCACTGCGCCCAGCCGTGTTTTCACTCTTTAACCAACGCTTCAGCCCAGGTTATTGTAACCTCAGATTGCCAGCAAACCACTGGAAGCTACCAGACAGTGCTGGAACACATTCTCTCTCACAGTCCTCAGAAGAAACCAACCTTGTGTACACATTGATCTCAGACTTCCAGTTCCAGAACTGTGAGACAATAAATTTCTATTGTTTAAGTCACCCAGTGTCGTACTTTGTTATGGCAGCCCTAGTAATACAACAGCTACGCTCCCTTATTTATATATTGTCTACAGCTGCTCTCATGTAACAACAGCAGAGTTGAGTGGTTGGAACCAAAACCACATGTCCTCAAAGCCTAAAATATTTACTATCTGGCCTTTTACAGAAAATGTGCTGTTGACTTATCTGACGAGTGAGATAGGGTGAAGGGTCACCAGACAGACGAGGTTTATTCTCCCTGTATTTCTCCTTTGAGAACTGTCTGATCATCTTTGCTCAGACCCTCTCTCTTCCACACAGGCTGGAAGTGTCCATCTGACTCACCTGGAATCACTGAGTTCTATTTGGGATAAAAGTAGAAGAAAATAAGACACTTTGGGTCTGAGGCATGGTGTCTAATTTAGCTTGATCAGCAATAAAGTATTTAATTTTCTCTCTTCCTGATAGCTATACATATTTCTCGGTTGATTTCAAATGTGGGAGGAGAGACATATGTGATTCATTGGCTTCCATGGAACTCAACTTCTTCCTCCTCATAGTATAAAGGTGTTAGAAATGCCATTTCCCTCTTGAAGGTTTTCCAAAAAGGAAGTGAGTACTAATTTCTTTTTAACCTGGCCATATACTCTCTGAAGGTGCAATTCTCATGACTAATTTTTAAATTCTGTATCACATAAAATGATTTTAATTGCACTCATGCTCACAAAGTTTAGTTTTTTTCATGCTATGCCATTATGTATTTATGAGTATTTGTGTATGCTTGTATAGAACAGACCTAAATTACTATAACCTTTCTTAGATTATGAGCTTCTGAGCAGATTTTTGTTCAACTTGCAATCTGGTTTGTTTAATAGCAACACATTTCTATGCTGTTAATATGTTTCCCCCATTAATAACAAAGTCCCCACTAATCGACTGCTAACAACTTTACTCATGTAATGTAACAAGGAAGAGAATTTTCAAGATGAAAAAGATACTGATAACAGCTTTGAAGACTGAGTGAAAAATATTTTAATCACTAATAAAATATATCTAGAAATATACCTGAGAAAGTCAGCCTCTAATCTATAACCTGTAGCTTGTAATTTACTCAGTTAACCCATTGATATTTATGGAAAATACCCATTATACACAAGATTCTCTCTGACATCAGTAGATGGAGGGACATGGAAGATAATAAGATTAAATAAACAGTTGGGAAAGGACCTTGATGTTCAGGCAGAAAAATCTGGCTGTGATTCAGTAGATGTTCAAAAAGTGTAATGGAAAAAATGGAGACAGTGTTTGGAAGGAATTGTAGAGGTCTTAGCTTAATGATCTAAATGAGAGATGTGCCGTGTTTGGCTTGGGTAGGCCTGCCAGATCTGTTTGCTTGAGCGATCCAAAGATACTCAGAGAAATAACTCATCTAAACGAATGACGGCCATGGGGTGCTGTTGGAGGAATTGTTGAGCTTGTTACCTAGTTATCCAGTTACCAGTTATATCTGGCTCAGCCTCTGTGAACTGCTCAGGGAGAGAGGGTGACGGTCAAAAGTGAGTAAAAATGAAAAGAGCAGTTTCCTTAAAGACTCTGTTGAGGGCAGTGTTTAACAGTAGGTGCCACAATGGAGGCTGGAGGGTAGGGCGGGGCCAAGGGCAAGTTCCTACTCAGCAATTACCTTTGCAGCTGCGTGCTAGAACAGCCTCTGGCTGCACCAGGCAAGTGAGACTAAAACACAGGGGCAGCATCAGGATCTTTGGAGGGCTGGCTTCAGCTGCACCACAATATGGGGAGTGACAGACTGATACCATGGATTTCCAAACAAAGTCATAACAAACAAAAAAGGAGCCTGCCATGATCCAACCCACAAATCCAAGTTTAGACATATGTGGACTTATCCCCCGACACTCCACTCCCACCAAGATTCCTTGGGAGAAAAAGAGCCCAAGGACTGGTGGGCAGAAATTGTAGGAGGTAGGGTTTGAAATAAATGGCAGTAGAGCCTCGGAAAGTGTCTGGTTGCAATTACCGCTTCCAGGTTGTGGGGCCTGGAAACCACCACTTACAAAGATGTAGAAGAGGAGGTGATGTAGAGTAAAGGCCAGAGTACTAGATGCCGGTTGTGTTAAATACCAGCTGTGTGACCTTGGGCAAATTAGTCAAATGTTCTGGCTTCAGTTCCTGTATCAAAAAAGTAGAATCTTTCGAATGCCCTCACAAGGTTGTGGTAAAGCTCAAATATGTGAGAAAACCCTCTACTTTAATAAAGAGTTATTATTATAATTACATGGAGTATTGCAGAGCAGGCTATTTATAAAAGGTTCGGAGTGCACTGATTTACAAGATATGCTGCCAAATAATTCACCTGTCTTCTGGTATAAAAATATTTTTGTGTCTTCCTAAGCCATTTCCCAAGGAAGTAATTTTTCTCACATAAACAATTGTCTCAGCAAAACCCAGAGGCACTTGAAATGACTGATTTTAGGAGCATTCGCGTTTGTCTGTGTCCTCCAAAAAGACACAACAGGGAAAGTTCAGAGACAGCCCGCACAGGAGAAATGAAGGACAGGAAAGCCTTTGGGGTACTAGAAAGTGGGGGACATAAAAATCTTGGCCTTATTTTAACATTTCTCAGAATATCGAAGAGTCAGTGTATGAGCTTGTTGGTAGTGATGGTTCTACTGGGAAATCTTAACTTTAAATTGCCTGCCAATCTTTATTTTGCATGTCCAAGAAGGGCCATTTATCACTTTTATGAAGCCACTGAAAGCCCGCAGTGAGGGAAAAAACTAATTATTGAGTAGTACATGTCTTCACACTAAATACATAATGAGAGTAATGGGCTGAGGGCTGCAGATATGGGTAGTAAATGTTTTGATAAAACAAATCTAAGATGCTCCTGACAGGAAGGCAGCCCTTCCTCATCTCAACGACTTCTCTATTGCCCACCTGGAGAGCAAGTTTCTGATAATTAGTGATGCTCTGTCATGATGGATTTTATCTGATAGCTCATCTCCACAGTATAGCCTTTCTTTAGTCATGAAAATAACCCACATATGCATACGACTCTCACTCTTAGCAAAGCACTTTATATATAGATGGACACACACACATGTAAACTTTGTATATATATAACATTCTCAGAAATGTTATATATATAATTTATATATAATGTATATGTAATTCATATATATGAATGTATCTATTTTTATATATCGTAATATATATTCATTATATATAACTCATAATACAATGAATTATATATAATTTCACATATAGTTGGGGTATCACTTAAATACCGGGCAATAATTAAGCATATCAGCTTCAGCTGTTTTTCTTACCTTAAGAACACTGAGAACGTTTTTGAATGAACTCCACCATCATCTTTTAATTCCAAGTAAAAAACATGTCCCCTTACATGCACCTGAAGCCTACTCGGTGAATTCTACCCTGGTCAAATAAATCTTCCTTTGCCAGGCTATTTCTTGGGAATTCCTATCCAAAGTTAATTTGCTTAATTTTTTCTCATTAGTCTTCTTAATGCTCTCTGACTTAGATTTTATAAGATTATCTATTTATTGGTTAAAAAACAACAAACTGCTTTCGTCATCATGAAGTCTTTCCTCTTGGGTCACCGCCTAGAGCTGCTCTGTCCACTGCCCGCAAGTGGCTCCTGAGATCTTGGGATGTGGCTAGTCCAAATTGAGATATGCTATAAGAGTAAAATACACAACAGATTTGAGGACTTAGAACCCCCCCCCCACAAAGAAAGTTACATATCAAGCCAGGCATCGTGTCTCATTCCTAAAATCCCAGCACTTTGGGAGGCCAAGGAGCAAGGATCGTCTGAGTCCAGCAGTTTCAGGTTTTAGTGAGCCGTGAGTGCACCACTGTACTCCAGCCTGGACAACAGATAAGACCTCGTCTCAAAAAAAAAAGGACGAAGAAGAAAAAAAAGTGATGTGTCAGTAATTTTTTGTGTGTTGATTACATAACAAAATGATAAGACATGGGATATATTGGTTTCAATCAAATATACTATTACAATTAATTGGTTACACCTGTTCCTTTTACTTTTTTTAAGTGGCTGCTAAAATATTTAAAATTACCTATGGGGCTTGCTTTGATAAGCAGTGCTGAGCTTTCAATTTTGCATGCTAGGTCTTCATCACAACACTCCCTACACCCATGCAAGCTCATCCTGCCCCTTTTTTTTGTTCCATGGGCATTAACATAAACACTGAACAGCTAAGACCCAGTTCCTTTTGACTACCTCTACCTCAGCCAAAGAAGAGTTCCTCAGCCTTCATTTGTTGGAGGATAGATGTAAGATCGATGCTACTCATATAGCAAGCACGCTGGTCCTAAAGTCATTCCATCAGAAATTTTTAAAAATGGTTTTCCTTATTCCTGAAATGATGTCTTAAAACTTAAACCAAAGTTGGCAGAATAGGGGCAGAATATTCACAGATGTTCCTACTTGTCCTGAAGGCAAAATCGACTTTCTGGAAAATTATATCCAGTAAGACAGTTCTACATGGAGTGAAACAAACTTAGTCCTGATATTCAAGGGAGTGCATAAAGGTTCGTCCAACAATGGAGAGTTAATAAAAATGGATGGCCAAACCGGTTGTGTTTTTCTTGAAGGAAGTTCATAGGCAATATCAATCCAGCCCAAGGGAGCAATGGAGCTGGATATTTTCCAAGCGTTTGCCATCAACAGCTGGACTTTCTTAACTGTGATTTGCCATTCTTTTTACACTTCTGATATTTTCGGACAAATACATCCATACACAGACATATTTGTAACAAACCACTGTCAATCCATGATGTATACACACCTGACTCACAATAACCAAACTGTACAGAGAACTGCCTGCCCTGTCTCTGTGCCCTGTCTACCTACTGGCTGCTCCCTGCCACCTTTCTTTCTCTAGCCTCTACATCTGCTTCTGGGACTCATTATTTAACAACAACAACAACAACAACAAACAACAATATTGAAGCTTTTAGGGAGTCGGTAAGACTAGAAGTTGGGGGCAGGAAAAGGCTCTGAAAAAGCAGAAACAACTTCCGGGAGCACAGACTTCTAGACAGGGCTGGTCGGCCTGTGTTGTGCCCGATTCTGAAACAGTTTCTTGTGCATTACTTGGTTTGCTTTTATTGCAGTGTTACATTGCAAAAATTACCCCCATTCCAGATTTATTTGGGCTAAGAGAGGATCTTTTAAAAATGCAGACATTTCTGAGAGCGTTAAAGTGTGAATTTATCCATCGAATTGCCCTTCTGCTTTGGACTCACTGCTTGTCTTCCTCAACAGTAAGGATAGCAATCTAATTTCAATATGAAGAGTTAGAAAGCCACCTATCTGTGTCTACTCCTGAAATCCACCAAGATGACATTTTAATAGCTCAAAAAGCTATGCCAAACTGCTTCTCAAGTTTCCTCCAGCAAAAT